AATTTATCTAGAAAGATCATAACCTTTCAACTTGTGAAGAAGACCAGTATACCAAAACCTGTCAAGTGCTTTTGAGATATGCAAAGCAACAGCCCAAGCCTCACCATTATTATCTAAAACTTGATAGACCATTTTAGCAATAATTATTAATGTATCAGCAGGTAACCTGGAGAAGCTCAAGCCATATGTCATACCTGAAAGAAGACCCAGTGTGGTAAGATGCTTAACCAATTTAGTGTTGATTAGAGCCTCTAGTACTAAGAGGTATAAGGCTAACAGGATGATAGAAAGATTAGATGTTTCATCAGAGTTTTTAACAACTGGCACTACAGAAAAGGATTTCCAGCAAGCAGGAAAGTAAGTAGTAAGGCATGGAGTATAGAGAAAACAGGACCCAATTTAGGAGCACATTTCTTAAGGACTATTGCAGAGATACCATCAAGTCCATATATTTTGTAGGAATCCAGTTTAGAGATGATAGCAGAAACCATAGACAGAGCATGCATATCGCTCAATATAGATTCAGTTCTAAATGGAAAGTCAAGCAAAGATACTCTAGATGAGTCAAGAGTAGAATTTGAAGAGAATTTTCAAGCAAAATATTCTGCTTTATCCATAAATGTTAATACATCAAAGTGAGTGAAGAGAGGTGGGACAGAAAACTCATTCTTATTTAACACACTATTACAGCGCCATGAGAACCAAACTTGTTAGAGACTATACAGTGCCTCATTCTATTAGCAAAGACTTAAGCTCTTTGAGAACATGTTTACAATTATGATTGGACACAAATAGGCTTCTTATCATGCTGGTAAAGCTGGAAAAAGTGATTCCTGTGTGTTATACTGGCTGAACAGACCAGTGTGAACCAAGGAGAAGATTGTGGTTTCACCAGATATTTGTGAGAAGATACAAAAGCATCAATTTTATCCACAAAGAAACCTGTGACACAATTCTCAATAGGAAGGTTAAGAATATCAATCCAAGGGGCATCTTGATCACAAAATGAATCCCAATCACTACACTGGTAACAGAAAAAAAAAGTTCTGTGAATAGGAGGTTCCTTTTGAATAGATGAGTCAGAAGAACAGTTCCTTAACAACAAAAGAATTTTAACAACTTTTATTAAGAGAAACAGTTTATTTAAATCAATTTCTTAGCAAAAGAAATTTATTTACTTCAAAAAGTTCAGAAATTCAAAAGTTAAAATGGGGTGAGAAAGGTTGACTTGCTGTGAGTGCAAAATGAAAACCTTGCCTTCACAGAAATGTACCAATGAGCTGAAAAGAAAGAAGGTAACAAACTTAGTCAATTTTTATAAAAAATGAGGATAAAAATTAAATTAATCAGAGTGCCTGAAAGTCATGTAAAAGGTTCTGTGTCAGTTCCTCGCAACCAGCATTAAAGTTCTCACCAGTATAAAATTACTCAATGATTATATTATCATTCTCTAACCAGCAGGTGGCACTTTCAAAGAATTTTCTCTTAACAATCCAAGAAAGCTAAGTATTTCAAACTATCTCTCTTCTACTTTTGAAAGTATGCAACCATCTATACCTTCAGTGAGCAACAAATTGTCTCTTATTGTCTTAAACATTTTTTAATGTTATTGTGTGCATGAACATTTCATCTTCATAACAATACAGCGAAACTATAGACTTTAAGAATTTTAATTTTTTCCTGAAATGAACTGACACTACTTCAAGCGTGTAAATTCATGAATAAATTCCTTATCCTGTTTTGTTAAAATTACCCATATGTTTCCTCGTCATTATTATCCATCTTTAATTTTCTTGGCGTGGATAATTCAACTGTTCATTTTATTACCTAAACCCTGCACCACTATAGACCTATCTCAGAAGTTGCCTATCTGGGTCCTTTAGACAAAATATACAGATGCTTGAAACTGGCATTCTCTAATAGGAGATCACATGTTTAGAAAAAGACATTTTTTGTAAAGAGAATTCCTGTAGGTTTTTAATGATTCTTCTTCCCTTTTCTTCAACAACAGTAGTAATAGTAGCTGTGGCAGTCTTTTATCATTTTAAGTCACAGTTTTCCCTCTTACACAGCAAACAAGTAACACCAACCAGATAAAAAAAAAAAAAAAAAAACCACAGGGGTGTATACTTTTTATCCCGATTGGTTAAGAACTAAAGAATCACTATCCAATCAAATCAACCATTTGTAATTTAATTTCACTGGTTTTTGACAATAAAACCAAGCGCATCCTCTGTAAAATTTTGCTACAGAATGTTTAAAAACCATTTGTTTTTTTGTTTTTTTTTGGTGGGGGTGATTTCTTTGTTGGATCCATCTACCCAGGTTTTTGTTTTTATTTGAGTATCAGGATTCCAAACATTTAACAACAAATCTTTTAAATGAAACATAAAAAAGGTTATTTTTAAAGGAAAAATAGAAGCAGAAATTCATTTGAAATAGCATTTATATGTTCTTTTCAGAAATATATAACACCAATAAAATTTCCTTGTAGTGAAGTTTGTTTTATAAAGAAAGTAACTAGCTGAATTACCTGCTCCATGTCACATTTTTTTTTTGTAAGAAAATGATTGATTTTAAATGATTGTTATAATTTATGGAGAAAAATGATGCATTTCAGTATTACTCAATGATCTTGCTGATGTGAACTCCATTTTCTGGCTTTCTCCTTCTATATTTTGGATAGTAGTCATTCCCTTGTTCAAATTTAAATCAAAGGGAAAAAATTTTCAGTGGGAGGTTTCCTTTGATCAAAATGAACTTTATGACAGTCAGCCTAATATGTTTGTGAGTTTGTAGACAAAAACTTAACTGGCAACTACCAGTTAATCTCTTCTATTGTGTGTGTGGAGTCATTGGCAGCTGCTAGCTGTGATCTCTTCCATTGGGTGCATGTGTGTATTCACATGTAGATCAAACTGGCCTCTGAAATACTTTTGAACCCCGAAAAGCAATAGGCTTCCATTTTTAAATCCACAAGGGGGATCCAAAATCTAATTTGATATAGAGGTGTGAAGTTTTTGAATGCAAAGTTTTCATTAATTAGAAAATAATTTCACACTGTATCGCAAAAATCTTTTTCTCAAATTTGCAGGAGTGGTGAAGGGAGTTATTATTTTCTCTAAATGGTCCAAAAATAACAAGTGGTAGGTTTTACGTCCACAAGTATTTTGGCGGTATTTGTCCTTGTAAATGATTGTTTATCAAACAAAACTTCTGATGGGATTTTACTGGTTAAAAAATTTGTAGGATTTAATTTTAATTCCTATATTTTATTCAAAGAAACTGTTTTAGTAATTCATTATCTGTTTTTATTCCAACGTTTTCCATACAATTTTAAATTTAAATAAATATCTTTTCTTAAGAATAATTTCTAGATTAATTTTTTTGCATTTTTAATTTATTTTTTCGTCGTATAATTTTAAAATTATTGTTTTTATTAAAAATAAATTTAATAAACAAGTTTTTTTTTTTTGCGATTAAGGGAAGTTGCATATTGTTTTACTTTTATGATTAGAGAGAAATAAAAGATAAGGATTGATTTATTACAAAATTTAAAATGTGTTTTACAAAAGTACTGTTTAGTTTAAATTTCCTGTAACCGGGAAAATAACTTTTTTTTTCTTTAAAAAGAAAAGAGGTGTGTATTTTTATTTAAATAAGTGAGTTTGGTCCTCACTGAATTAAATTCACCTGAACTAAAAAAAAGTGTTTTGGTTGAGCAGAATAGCCACATTTTCATTTGCATGAATAAGTAAGTGTATGAAGAAATTCAATCACAATGTATTTTTACCATGACTCATATTGTCTTTTTAAGAAAAGTACACATAAACAAGTTTTTTGGGTTTTTTTTTATATTCCGTCCTCCCACAATCAGAAACATAATTTTTTCCCCGCTGAAAAGAGAAACAAATCATTTTTTGTACGACAAAAAAAAAAAAAAAAAATCACATGTTCAACTTGCCGTAAAATGCACTAAAGAACCTGAAGTATTTTTTTATGTGGTTAGAGGCAAAATATATTTTTTTTAAATGACAAAGTATTAAAGTGAAAATCATTTAGAGACTCGTACATTTTTTAGAATGAATATTCTTACTTTTTTTGTGAAATGATTTTTAGTCAACTGCTAGCAGACTGCTTCTGGTGAGGTCAGTGCAGAACTGATTAAAAAATATTTGTTGCTTTTTTTTGTCTTATTTTTTTTTTATTATTATTCTCAATAAAGAATACAAATTTCAAACAAAGTAGTAATACCCTTTTTTTTTACTTTACAACTGTGAGTCAAATCAGAGATTTTCCTTTTAAAATAAATAAACGTGGAGAAATTTCTTGGGGGTGCTTCTTTACGAAAAGGAAAAACAAACGGACAAACTAAAAAACAGAAGGGAAAAAAAGGAAAGTAAGAATAATGCAATGAAATGGTTTGAATATATTTATGAATTCAGCAAGCAATTCTAAAGTTTGAAATAAGTTTTTTTTTTTTTTTAAATATGTGAACTTTAAAAAATGAACAAAGAAAAATTCGTCTGTCGTTCATTCATTCATTCGTCTCACTTGAATGAAGCCTGCTTTATGAAATCATTACACAAAAATAAATCAACTAATACTAATCTAAATAAATAAAAAAATTCTTTTCATTTCAACTATTTACAGTCACATTCAGTTCTCAGTTGTCTACTAAAGATAAAGTAATTAATTAAAATTTAAATTATAATAGTGAATGGAGGTGAAGCTATTTTAGAAAGTGGCAAAGACACGCGTCACGCGTACTAATTATTGATTTTCAATCAAACGAGAAGAGAGAAATAAAGATTCCTGTTTTGTTAAAAATACGCAATCTCTTCAATCAACAGAGTGATTAAGATCTTGCTCTTTTTCCAATTAACTCCATTAAATAAAAAATGACCGAAAGAAAGAAGCAAAAAACATTCAATGAATGAAATTAAATGTCATAATTGAACTGACTGCAAAAAAAAAAAAAAAAAAAAGTAAGCACTTACTGCAATGTGGTTCCCCATGATGATGCAAACAGACGATTTAGAAACTTTTTTTTATTATTATTATTTTCCTCTTTTACTCCAGTCCGACTGACGACCAACTAAAATAATAACCCTGTTCCTTAAATAAATGTGATGTCATGGTCAGGTTGATGTGAGTTCTTTACATCAGCTTTAAAGTGAAATAACAACGCATCGACTGAGAAAAAGTGTGGGTCGAATTTAGTCTGGCCACAATCACGAATTGTGCGGAAGTTAAGTCATCAGTTTTTTTATTTGTTTGTCTTTTTCTTCCTTTTCTTTTCTACACATTTTGCATTATCTGCTTTTTCTTTTCTCTTTACTTTCTTTATAGTTCCAGGAAGATTCAAAGAAAAAATTAATGAAAAACAAAACTTAATCGTTCACTGTGCATGAATGTGTAGGATGCATTTTTTTTTAAAAATATATTTTAATTTTACTATGTAGTTTTTTTGTTAGTTTAATTTTTAAAACATTGTACTTTTTTAATTTAACCTTTTTCAGAATTTCTAATTCCGTTTTATTTTCGTTGAATTAAAGAAAAATTTCAAAGTTTTTAAATTTTCTTTGTTACTGTCATAAATAAATCAGTTTTTTTTAGTTTTGAATCACATTTTTCATTTTTCCTTCATCTCAGTTTTTTGTACCAGATTCTATTTTTTAATGAACTTTTTTCTTTCGAGCAATAATGTAAAATAAAATGCTTTATTTGCATAAAAAAGTCATTATTTCTTAAAAATGGAATAAAGGAAAACACATTTTTATAAGAAATAAAAGTAAAAAAACTAACTAAAAGAAATCAAAATTTGACGTGTTTGAAAAAATTTCCAATATTGCCCATATGGTCATTGGTAGGGCTCTCCTCAGCGCAACGGTTGTAATTAATCATTAATTAATGGCTAAAAAATAAAAATACCGCAATTAGGAAATTTTGTAAGTAAATATATTTTTAAAATGTGAGCAAAATATTGATAATTTTTAGAAATTATAAAAATATTTTTGAACATGGAAAAAAAATTCAAATTTTCAGTTTTTTTATTTTTCCTTCCAGACTTATCTGTGAATTAATTGCTATGCATTCTTGGGAAAGAATGGAGCACTGAAGAGGTATTTTTACTGTTTGAGAATTTTTTTCACAAATATTAAAAAATAGTTTGTTTTTTTTTTTTTTTTTTTTTTTTTTTTAAAAAAACAAACTTCTTTGATTTTATTTCTTTTTCATCTTAAAAAGTTTGAAAATCTTTGTTTTGAAATCCGAAAAAAAAGTTTTTAATTTACAAAAAGATAGACTTACATTTTTTTTACAATGATTACATTATTTTTTTTATTTTGGTTTCAAATGTTACTTGACTGATAATAAGAACAAATTTTGAAAGTTGTAGATATGTCCAAAAAAAAAAAATGAAAAAAGTAAAACGAAAAAACAAAAAAAAAACTTTCAACAAAAATAATTTTGAAAAATCCCAGTTTTACTCACCTGGCAAATTTAACCTACTTTTTTAAATTAAAACTTAATTTCCTGTTTTCTAGTTCTCAACACTTTTTTACACCTGATACAAAAAAAAAAACTCATGTCCGTAAGGCATGAATTATGAATAAATAAAAAAAACGTTTTTATTCTTGAATCAAGCAAGATTTTCTTGATTATATATATTTTTTAGGAGCTGGTGCTTTTTGTTGTTGGTTTTTAATTACTAAAATAAATAAATATTTATGGTGCAGTATGTTTGACTACAAAGATTCCGGAACACTAGTGCAATCATTCTACCACTAAAGTAGGCTTTGTTCGTCACATTTGTAAATTAGGATTATTTTACTCAACTCCGATATGTAAATGATCATAAATTGAGACATTACATTTTTTTTTTAATTTCAACTACCGTATATTCGCGTGTATAAGCCGTAGTGCAACCCCTGAATGTTTTTTGCATAAATTTTATTTTTTAAACCTCTCCAGAAAAAAATTACCTGTGTAAGAAGTGCGACCCCCCTAGCTTTTGCGTTAAAAACTCACACTAAAAGCCAAACCTTTTTTTAAAACGATCAAAAGTTTCATAGGTTTTTTATTTTGTTTTTATTTGAAATGGGATTTTCCTTTCTCAGTTGATTATGCAGTGATAACGAACCCCACTAAGCCAGATCACAAAAAAAAAAATGACAAAAACTGATTCTTAGAATTTATCACAGAAACAAAAAACCAATGTATTGTAAATTTAATTGAAGCCAATACCATCTTGAGATTAGAATTAAAATTCAGGAGACGTAAAACTTGTTGTTGTTTTTTTTTTTTTTTTTTTTTTTTTTATTTATTTATTACATATACACACGCTAAAAAAAAAGTCTCTACTCTACTCTTTTTCTACCCACCATATGCAAATAAAACCCAAAAATATACCAGTATTACCACTTTTAACTAATGAAGTGTAAATTAAATAACTGACTGAATGTAAAAGAGATACCCTAGAAAATCCTTGTCAGAAAACGAATAAATAAATAATGAAATTATCGAATAAATAAATAATGAAATTATTCTTTATGATTGAAGAAAAAGTTTCTTTTTCTTTCTTCATGTTTTTGAACTCCAAATATTTTCTGAAATTATTGGAAAAATAAAGTTATGAATAACTTTTAATTATTCCTGTATTTTTATTTTCTATATTTTTTTTTTAAAGTAAGTTTTGTGGTAAACACACAAGCACAATAAAAAAAAAAAAACATTATTTATAAAAATAAAAAATCTAATTCTAAAACACATTTTTTTTACTTATTTTACTAGAAAAATTATAATCTTTTTTGGCACTTTTCAAAAACTTCACTAAAATAAAAACTTAGGAAATGAGTTATTTATTGATTTATTTATTTTGCTTGTTAAAAAGAAATGAATTCTGTCTAAGATACACAGGGAAGAGAATGAAAATCATAATAAAATAAAAGGAAATAATTTAGTTGTGAATGAAAGAGATTTTGTGTTGAACATTGTAGGAGTGAAAACTGTGAAAAGTTTGGCCTTGTAAAAATATTCAACTCGTCCAGTAAGAAAAAGGAAAGAAAAAGAAAGTAGATAAAGTGAAAATAAAATAAAATATTTTATTTATTTATTCTTCTTGTCATTTGGTAATGTATTGTAATTTGAGAACCATGGCTACAATATTTTACAAGTTCACATTCTAGCCTATTTTCCAATCCTCACCCCAACTTTCTTCCTTGTTTTCAAAACCGGTTCCTAAAGCCTCATTCTTATCAGAGATAAGAATATATTTTCTGACAAATGAGAGAATTCGAAAATGTAAAAAGGAATTTCCCCATCATTATCCTGTCCATGGTGCCATAAAATCTGGGGGAAACGCTCACATCTTGTTGGAGAGTTTGCTTCCAAAGCAGCTCCCAAAACCTTGTTTCTTATCAGCAAAAGAAACATATTTTCTAACCAATGAAGAGGCCAGGAAATTTGTATAACAATTTTGGAGGGAAAAAGTCCTTGATATTTCTAAGCCTCCCAAATCTCTATAAATATGGAAAATCTTTGCCTATTTGGCAGTGAGCAAGTGATAATAATCTGTGAATCAACAAAGGTTAGCGACAGAAAATCCTTGCTGTCAGCTTCAAGAAAGAACTACCTACTATGGGCTGACGAGAAAGAACATTGGCCCATGACAAAAACCAGCTGAGAACTGCCTCCTTGCAACTGAAGATTTCTGTCGTCGACGTATGAACTTGCTCAAATACAAAATTTATATCTTTCAACATTTTCCTACTTTGCAAGAACTCTGTGAGTGTTTTAACCCATAATAACAATCTACTCACTTAAAGAACTTTTAAGCGCTCAGAGAAATATTTTGAGTAAGAAGCCTTTTTTCTTTTATGAACATTTTTTCTTCCTTTAAAGTTAAGGGAATTTTCTTCTGCCTTTCGTACATGTAAATAAACACTTTCTTCTTTTATTGTTACACACTGAGCAGGAATTTGAGCCTTTCTTTTTTTCTTCCGCCTAAAAGAGGGAGATTATCCACTCTAATCTTTCAAGCCGTAGTTGCTGTTTTTATTAAATTTTGTCACATTTTTTAACCTCAACCCTTTCATATGGGAAAACCAGGACAAATTTCTCACAAATTTCCCCAAATTGAAAGCAGACTCCACGTACACCAATACACACAACGCCCCCCCCCCACACACACACACCAACACCAAACAAAAAAAACATGCTCAGCATTGAATGAAGAAAAGTAATACATTTAAAATACATTTAACAGTAAAAGGGTGGGACCGAGACGGCAACCTTGTAGCATGCTTAAATTCATGCAGGGAAAAAAGCTCATCAGAGCAGTTCCCATGAAAATATTTGTAGAAAAGACAGAGGGAAGCCACATCACATCTGTGAGAAAGTGACTGGAGTAGAAATGCAAGTTTAGGACCTATCACATTGTATATCCGTCTTTGGATTTTGTTGAGAACCTGAGGATGAACAGCAAGGACACTAGACCATATAACAAGAAATAAACTAAACACAGCAAGATTTCTTAAACTTCTTCAGCTTGAACTTTTAGTCAGACTGGTTACTTGATATGTTGTCATGATTGTAAATAATGTGACTAATGATAACACCTCATCTCAGAAACTCTGATAAAAATTAGATCTTTTTTAGTTATTTAGTTTTATTTGGAAATTAAGAGGAATAGGCACAATAAATAGCAATCAAAGAGATATCAAAATTTTTTCTACCAGGAGAAACCATTACATTAGGCAAATTGGCAATTATTTTTACCAGCAAAAACTATAGAAATTACATTAGGCATCTTCATAATTTTACAATAGAACACAAATTATATTATTTACAAAATTAATACATTTGATTAATAGTTTCTACCACATTGCAGTGATTAAAAACCTCATCATTGCTGTAATCTAGTTGCAAGACTAAAAAACAACAATGTATTGCAGGTGTGTGAGGTGGAAAGAAAGGGAGACAATATGTTAAAATTATCTGTACACATTGAATCATG